GAAACAGATTGTTACATACTGTTAAAAAATTAATATGCTATTCCCATGTGCCAGTCTACATTCTCTCAGAAATCACTCAGAATTGAAATCTGGAATTTCTTAAATGAGTTCAACCATACTGTTAAGCAGATCTAGCGATCACTATTTGAGTTAAAAACTCTTTTGGCTCATTCTTTATATTTTTGCTCTTTTGGCCCTTTCTTCAGATAATTTCTTCATATTTTGGCCCTTTCTCCATATTATACCTCTTTCGGCTCTTTTTTCATATCACTTCATCATATTTTGACTCTTTCTTTATATTTAAGTATTTAATTTGTATACATCAAAACTGTCTGTTAAATCTGGGACTGGCCTTTTAATGGGACTAAACATCTTTGATTTTATGTTCTTTCAATAGGTTGAATTTAGCTTGTTTACTGATTTTAGTTTCATTTTTTGGCTTACTGTGTGGTTAGTAGCACACAAAGTCATTTATATCTCAACCTAGATGTGACCACGATCCATTGCCATCCCATAAAACAAAACATGTAAATTATATTTTTGACCCAAATTAAGGAGGTCTAGTCTGATTAGTATAGGGAGAGATTCTATCAAGATTGGTAATCTAATTTCCATAGACTTCTTAAATAAGGGCAATATTCATTAAATTCAAAATATTAAGCAGGACATGATTTTAACAGTATTTTTGAAACATGGGCAATAACTTTGTCAAAATAATCACCAAAATTCTTGAATACTGGATGGATGAATCTTATCGATCCACTCTTGCTTGTATTGTATTTTACAGTGTATTAAGCCAAGAGTTGTCTTTTGTTTGAAAATCTTTATATTAAACCAACAGTTCTGTAAGTCTATAAAATAAGCTTTTACTTGACAACAAATAATAATCAATAATCATCACTCTTACATCTCAATAGGTTTTTCAGATTAGATTCTACACTTACAAGATTTTTCTTGTAGCTCAATTCTACTTTTGTATTTTTTACAGTTTCAAAACATGTAGAAAACAATGATTGTTTTTTCAGTCGATAATCATGACCTAAGTCAGTGGTTCCTAACCTTTTTCCACCTAGGTTTCTCCTAACCCTTACTCGGTTCTGTCAAACTTCCCATAATCGGGGGCGTTAGGACTTGGAGCGTGTGCTACCTCTTTCACATATATCTTTGATAAACCCTATAAACATGTGCAATCTGAAAAGCTGTTCTGATCAAAATCATGGTACATCAGATCAACCACAAAATGTTTCACTCTCCGAAGACCAACAATTTCATACTGAATTGGTTATCTTTCATAAACCCAATTATCTCCAATGGATGACTAGGTTTGGGAAACACTGACCTATGCAGATTTAATACAAGTATGTTTCAAGAGGCATCATTTGGGTTTCTCTGGGGGGTTTTCTACCTTAAAGCCCCAACATTCCAGAATACAGATTATAGAGTTCAAGACCATACACAAGTACTTTCATTAAAAATATTTGGTCAAAAAATGAATTGAATTGGTCATGTCTAACTAAAGTTATGTCCATTTATTAAGCATTACATTATATAGTTTTTATTGATTTCAAACCAGTCTTTAATTCTCTTATATTGTCTTTTTTTGTACAATCTGTTTCATTCTGCATGAAGGTTTTATTTTATGCTCTGATGAGCTTAATTGCATGAATTGCATAATTAATTTAAATTGAAATTGCATGTACTTTTGAGGACCTAAATTGCTAATATTTGGGACCTAGAAATTTACACAAATGGGTCGCAACGCATATGATAATGTAATGTATATAAACTGATTTACATTCAATCATTTCCGTTTTTTACTCTAATTTCAAATCAGTTATGTTCGGTGAAATATGCCAGAAGTCTCAATCGAATGGCAATCTCTAGCATCTGGTTATTCCAGTCTACATAGTATTTATTGTGCATGCTGTACAGATAAGAGAGTATGTCGTCACCGTTTGACATGACTTGTAGAATCTACAAATGGGACTGAAACGCATTATGGTACACAATTCGTGTACCAATGGTAAAATGTTTATTTTGGATGATATTGAGTTAGAGACTTAGCTACTTTAAGATACATGTGACTGATCTCTGAATGAAAATTTAAGGTCCACCTGTGTTTGCATGCATCTGAAAGAATATGACAGTTGGAATTTGGGGAAGAGTTGGTGGAAATAGCACTGTCTAGGCAAAATTAACCAAGTGCACATGGGTCATGGGGCCATAGAAAAAACTGTTTGTCATTCTCAAAATGATCAGAGTACTGTGCAGACAGGGCTTTAAACTCCGTTCCATTCAGCTCCACTTCTGGTTGATGAATTTTGCGTCTAGTAGATCTCATTTATAATTTAGTATGTCTTAGCGTGACTTACCACAACCAATGATGATGTTGATTTGTAGCATGCCTAATAAAAAAAAAATTACACGTCCTAATTAAAAAAAAATATCTTCCCATAGCAACCAAGAAGAGTCTCTAAACATTTAATTTAAACAAATGAATAGAAAGTTTTATATTGTCCCTTAATTAGGTTTCATTTGCCAGACATGCCATAAATCAAAGTTGTTCTGTATATAATAGACCCCCATTAGAAATAAGTACTGTTGCCGGTATACAGAATGATTGAATAAAATGGGGTTTAACATGTTGCTTGTCTGCACCATTCAGGGATAATGGAGGTTTAAGGTGTTACTTTTCTGCACCAACCAAGGTAAATGGATATGACATACGACATGCAGTGTGCTATTTTGCCTACAGTCTAATCTTATTTCTATTTCCAACTGCCATTGGATGTTTAACATGCTGCCAATGGTATGCAGAGGATTTTGTTTTTCATCACATTTGAACCACTAGATCTCTTTCCTTGCCAAACCCGCCATCCTGGAACTTCTTGGAAAACGCAATCTGAACAATCTGATGTGAGCCAGCACCAAACTCATACATTACAATTCAACAGAAAGCCTCAACAATACAAGTACTGTACATGATGAATCACAATGCATAATCCAATTCAAATAAACCAAAAACAAATCAACACAAAAGGTTTGGTAAATTTAGTAGAACCATATAAAAAGGCCCAAACAAGCCAGCAGTAATATATAAGAAGGATGCCTTTTCCCTAATCCCAAAATAAGTACATTTTGATGACATTCATAAATTACTTTTTCATTTACCTTTTTATAAATCATTGAGCCACTGAAACTATTTAAACCTTGAGAGAATACATGCCCAAATAATTGAATAAATAATTGTTCTGTCACATAAAGTATGTGTTTTAGTTTATTGAATTTTGATGCATTGCAATAGCTTCATATTATATTACACAGTTCATTCTACTTGTGCATTCAACTATATGTTTATCTCAAGTCATGTTAACCTGAACATACAAATATAGCATCATTGAGATCAAAATGATCTATCTATTAGGATTACTGAATGAATGAAAGATTCCTACTAGACAAAATACCATCTCTGCCAAAGATATGTTGATAACCAGGTGTCCGAGGACCTGGCTAACCATCTTCATATCATGCAGAGGGTAAAAAACATTGCTACTCAGATGATGTTGCAGATAAAATATAACATTCATTCATTAAGTGGTAACATGGTAAGGTTGAACCTGGTTTACATGATCTGGGGTCACATTACAAGTTGCTTCTGACGTCAAGTCTGTTGTTTCTGTATTGTACAGATTTTCTAATGCTCTACAACTTTCTTTATGGACTATAAAAATAAGTTTACAGTTGTACCTAAATATAAGATCCATTTTATAATAGACACAAAACTTGGTGATGCTTCATGTTTATTTTAAAATAGCATTAACAAACTATTGTTCTGGGGAGGAAATGGTAGATATCTTGAAACTTATACAGAACTATAATTAAGTGTTATTGTTAATGTACTTTAAGCTCCAGCATTATCTCGACATAGAATTGTAATTAAAGATCCAGCCTACATTTCTATTTTGTTGAAAAGTAATTAAAACATAATGACATTTTACTTTTGTTATTAACCCTTTAGCATGAGGACTGGCCAAAACTACTGCTCCCTCCAACTCATGTGAATAGCTATAATAACTGATTAGACAGCAGTTAGAGAGCATTAGTTTAAGGCAGGTTCAATAAGGAGCTACATAAAAAACAATTAAAAAAATATTACTTTTTCTTCTAAATTTTTCAGGGAACTTGGCTGGTCAATATTTACATATACCAGGTGCTAAAGGGTTAAGGAAAAAAAGGGGGACCCTCAAGTAGGCTATGAATTTTGCACAGAAGGAAATGAGCTATTGTGTGTTTCATATATTATAACCAAATAATCAATCTTTGGGCATTAGGAGAAAAATGACAATGTCAAGCATTCTGTTCAAAGTCATAAAGGATAGAAATAAAAAAAATGTCAACACATAATTTGGTTAAACCAATATTGTACTAAACATTAATTCAAGTACTGATTTATAGTTCAAATCAGTTATAATATGACGGTGCTCATAATCACCGACAAGAACATTTCCTATGTCAATAGTACCAAAAGTATTGCACAAAATAGCTGACAAGGAAATATATGTTACAGATAATGGCATATACTACACATATTCCAAATTTAAATGTTTTCATAAAAAATTAAAAAGATTATGGACAATTGAAATTTGGACAAAAACGATCTTACAGAGTTTTTTTTTGTCTAATTCACTTATCCATAATCTCTCAATTTTTTACGAAGTCATTTAAATTTGGGATATGATGTGTAGAATATGCATATCTATAACATTTCTTTCCTTGACCATCACTTTTTACAAATTTTGGCTGATATTGACGAACAAACATTCTTGTCAATCCTTGTTGGTGATTATGGTAGAAGGACTCCAATAGTATACTAAATTCTCTATGTAAAAAAGGGCACATGGAAAAATTATATACATCAATTATGTTTCAAAATGTTTTCCTATACAGTATATAATATAGCACATAATTTGCTAAATGTGATTTTTTTTTTTTCTTTTTAGGAACATTTGTAGCTGGTCTTTCTGTTCTATGCTGTTCCCGTGTCAGACCAAAAGGCAGTTCAAAGTCAAGTGTGCTTTGGGTTAACTCGTATGTGGCCTTTCTACAGTTTATAACTACTTTCTTATTCTTACTTGGATGGATCTGGAGCATCATGTGGGGAGTAGCCTTTCTCTCTATTTCAGGTAAAATCATTGTCTTTGTTAGTCATTTTAATTGTAAAAGTAGCCACGGTGGCTCAAGTGGCAAGACATTTGCTCGCTAACCTTCAGGTCCCGTGTTCCATCCTGTGTTGACCTTGAAATGTTCATCAGGATTTTTCAGCGTGGTTCCTCCTTGTCAGTGGTGTAGGACCAAGGGCCTGGCAAAGGACAACATATAGTCGTTTGGATGGGACAAAAAACCAAGGTCCTTGGCAGATGGAATTCGATGTAAGACTAAACCGTAGCACCGCTGTCAGGACTAAATTTCTCTCATAGCACACTGTATGGTGTATGATCGTCTTCATTAGCCCAGTCAGAGCAGAACAGTAGGACGTTAAAAACCCTGTTTCATTTTAATTATAATTATAAAGGGTCATCATGGTAAGCAAGTGGTCAGAGGCAAATAAAAGGCCATCATGGTAAGCAAGTGGTCAGAGGCAAATACAAACAAGTTTTTAAAAGAATTTATTTAGGGAGATAATTCTGTGATAACGACTGAAGGCTGTGGAATTTTAATGATATCTTCTCTATTCCCCCAATTTATGATCCAAAATTCTGACTTTAATTAGGATTCTCCATTCAATGATACTTTAAGCACTCCCTGGAAATCTCTTAAAATCTGACCTGTGGATCGCAGGATATTTTGTAAAGAAGGAATCCATGTGATGACAGTATGTGTAAATGTGGGCATATATTAAACAATAAATATCTAAACTTATTCCAAAATCAACAATTGGCTACAGAGACTTCTTCTAGTAATACATTCAGACCACGTGAAGATTGCTAGCAAGTTTTGTATTCATCAATGTTTATCCATCAATTCACATTTTCTAGTGAACCCTAGGTAGGTTAGTAACTTTTTCCTAGGAGCAGTATAGTCTGAACTGTCGCAGTTGTAGAGAAGCAGAATGTACAAAGCTTCGGCAACATGGGATTTCAAATCTAACCCAAACCAGTTTGCTATTAGAACCAGTTAGCACCTATTTAACCTTTGAAAGAAACATTTCGTGACAGAAATTGTAGTCTATGTATGGTATAGCCTGGCAGGCCAGCTCACTGCTGACATACTGTTTTACAATTTAAATTTTTTTTATTAGATACTTGAGATATTAAATTATAAAATTACCGATAAATAATCCTTCTTTTTCTTTTTTCAGCCGAATATTACAGAAAGCATGATTCCAGTCATGAAGGAAAAGATCACCATCATCACCACCATCATCATCATCACCATCATCATAACCAACAACATCATCATCATCATCGAGATAATGATCATGAACACCACCTCACCAAAATACCTTCTATTCCAGAAGACAGTCCATCAGATCCAGATAGTTCAGTTAATGTTTTACCACATGCTAATGGGACATCACATGTTTATAACACAACACATGAACTGTATGTGGCACCTGCTCCCCCTAGTAAGCAAACCCAGCCAATGATTGTGCTTCAAGAACCGCCAATAAACCATTCCACTGTGTCCAATAAAACTGGGCCAATCCTCAATGCCCGTACAAGACACCAGAAAATCATTCAAAGACAAATGTCAGATAACCAATTGTCTCCCTTTAATCTTACCCATCAACACCTTGAAGCTATTGTTATCCATGATGCGCCATTTCAGGCACCACGTCCAAGATTACAGAGAACTGAAACTGTTGATAGTACCAACTCAGCAGCAGCAGCAGCAGCAGAAACTAATGGCGTGACTGTGACTTCATGATATTGTGATACCAATGACTGATTGAAAATATTTTTATAATTTTTAAACCTACTGTCCAACTGTTTGTAACGAAAATCCTCCTGTGTTCAAGGCGCCGTCTGCTATGCTTTTTGTTAAATTTTTTGAATGGCATTTGCCTTCCTAGAACCGCTGCTGTATGAAATATATGCTGCTGGATTTGTGATTATTGTTGTTATTTTATGGATGTGAAGCACTCAGATGGCATTGAGGTTAAAACCATATTAATCATTGATTTTAAGATGAAAATCCTAATGTAAATCTTGCTTAACTGTTTTCAGCATTAAACTGAGTAATTATATTATTTTTATTCTGTTTACAGGAGAGTAACATTTTACATTACTAACTTGGATGTGGTTACTCTTTCTGGAATTACACAGAATGGGTTATTTAAATATTCTCTTACTGCTTGTTATGTTATATTTTATGTTTCAGTATACATTATTCAAGCTATATATCTTTACGACATACATTATTTAAGCTATATCTTTATGACATAAATTCAAAGTAATCCTCAGAAAGCACCAGTTATATTTACAGATTATTTTAATAAAACACCCACCCATTGGGAATAAACCAGTGTACATTGTGAAATTTTTGCTAGCTTACATGGGTTATCCTTAAGAAGCTGATCATTCATGTTTAGTCATGATTAGTAAAAGAACTAACTTTTCGACCAAATGTCTGTAAATGCTTTGAGGAAATAATAATTATAGTTTTCTACTTGCGAGAGGGGATATATTTTTCCCCAGTCGATAGTACAAGAACAAGAACTTGCTGCCAAGGCACACAAGAAATGGAGACTAACATGTGGTTTAATAATGGTTCACTTTAGCAGTGGAAGGAAATCCAAGAGGATAGACAGGCTGAGAATCAAAACCATGTTACTTGACTCAGTGACAGACCCCACACCATTTAGCAACCAAACCACCTTGCTGCCAAGGCAAGGCTATGAAAGATTTTTGTCTGTCCTGTTTGTCGAGAATAAAATTATAGTATCTAAAGGCACAATCATGGAATTCTCAAGAACTGGTTAAAGCAAACCTTTCATCTTTATGTGCCCACGTTTTCATGATGTCCAATTTTGATGAAACTTAAAATGTATGTTTATATCCCAAAGATTTCAGTTCTTTTCGATATTTGCACAGTTTAGGCCATAACTTTCTGGATTATGGCCCCTTATTGTACGAAAAATCGCAATTTTTTTTTAGCTTGTTCTCTATCCATCTCTTGCAAAATATGGGTGTATCTCTTGCATGGCAACCTCTGGTTAATTGTACATCTCATATCTTGTAAATGAAATTTTCATATATATTATAATCATTGTGGAGGATACAGTATTACCAAACAATTATGTTCGTAATGAAAGAGGAAATCTTTTTAATGAAAATCTTTTCAGTGCAGGCACTGAAAACTTGAATGCCTTAGAGATTTTTATCCAAATGAAAAATGTATTACCAGTATCCACTGTTGTAGTGCTTAAAAAGAGGTGAGGGAACACATTTAGAGAAAGTATTACTCAGATGGGGCAGAACGTGGGCACAGAAAGCTAATTTGGCTCATCTGCCCTTTTGCTGAGGATCCGCCATTGTATATGAGAGCCAACAACTAGTTTATATGATTTAATGTATGTCAGAATGAAGTAAAGTGGAGAATATATCCAAAAAAATTAGCACAACCGCATAGCTGCACTAATTTGTTTCAAGGTATGCCGACACAAACTGATTTCAACACTGGTTTAATAACATTTTTTTAAAGTACTTTTCGTCCTCTTGGGGCTATTCGTAAATAATGTTATTGTATAGAGTATATTTATACCTATTTACATAGTAACACTGGTTTTAATTGGCTATAGTTACCTGTGTCTATGGTTACATAGTATATCTGTAACTCACAGAAAATATGTACACACGTGTGTTATGGATACAATTTACGAACAATGAGTGGAAGATAATCCTGGGAAAATCGGACTAAAACTGCCGGGCAAAATTGGCCGCCCCTCTTACGCCAATAGTGTATAAATATGGAATATGTATTATCAAGGTTGTGGAACCTCTAGAGGCCACAATTTTTATCCGAACTTGGTTCCTTTTGATAATAGCGCATATCTGAACGTACGAGGGGTGATTGATAAGTAGTGAGCCTCGATTGGAAAACCGTGCAACACAATGATACCACGTTTTGCACGTGCACTATTATGTTCCTCGGGCTCTGTCACAAACTTTCATCACATTCGGTTAAACTGTTTGGTTGTGACAGGTCATAACAATCAAGTAGGGTCTGTTGTTATCAGAAAATGGACCATATCGAGGCGAAAGCTGGGAATAAGTATCTGCATAAAAAGGGTCTAACACCGAAAGCCATACATGATGATATGGTTGAGACATTAGGAGATGATGCCCTCATATGCCACAATTTAAAGGTGATCAGCTGAATTCAAGCGTGACCGAGACAGCATTGAAGACGAACCACGCCCTCAGGCGCGGATCCAAGGGGGTGCGCACCCGGCGCACGCCCCCCCCCCCCCTAATTCCGGCAAGGTGTAAAAAAAAAATGTGTAAAAAATAATTGTACAATTTTTTTTTAAACTAAAAACGAACGGCTTTAGCGCGAAAATATGTACACGCCATGATCCCACAAAGGATCTTACCTACGGCAATCGGATATCTGTCACGTGTGCAATGGTCAGCTGACGTCACGTCACCAACGCGCCGCAGATGCGCTACAGACAGGTAGCCTAATCATGTCGGAAAAACAAAAGTTGCTGTCATCTCCCGTCGATATATTCGCGAAGAGTAGAAAAAAGGGTTAATATAAATCCGAATTTGTAGTGTCTAGCCATAGAGGTGTATATATTGACTAGAGTGTATTGTGGCCAGGTAACTCCCGTTGACGTAACGTTAACGTTGTGTGCCGTCACTGGAGAACGGCCGCCATGTAAGGCATGTTTCAACCGTGAAAGAATTACGGAAGTGCCCGGATGAACGCTATGTAAACAAAGGGAAATGGACTGACGGAGGACAACAAACCCATTAAAAAAATAATTTCCAGTTCATCAATGACAAATAAAAAAAAATGATGACTGAAAGTAGTGAAAGGTCTTGCCTTACTGTCCTAAAAAATCATTTTGGTCAACTTGTGTTTGTGTCTAGTGGATAGTGTTTAAATGAGTAAGAGAGGGGTCAAATGGTAATTTGGCTGACCCCCAGTAGGCCCAGTTTTTTTTTGCAAATGTTTATGTTCTGTTTACAATTTATCGGCGACGATATTTGCAACAAAACCAAATCTACAGGCCTACAAAGTCAAGAACAAATCTACCCCTACTCTATACCCTAATATGCTAACTCCTTCAAATCATTTGCGCTAGGGTTTGAACTTGTACAGATTAGGTTTTAAGAGATGGTGGGGGTTGTCCATGGCGTCAGTCACTAGTGCAGACAATGAACCATCAAATTGTGGTTTTAATTTTTTTTTCTTACAGCAAAGTCCCCTGAAGAAGGCGGTGCTCCCGCTGATGGGTGAGTTGCTTACGCAGTGCCTGAAGTAAGTCTGGACGTGTCAAATGAGGAATGCACAGAATCAGCTAAGGACGATGGTGATGGGTGAGTTGCTTACGCAGTGCCTGAAGTAAGTCTGGACGTGTCAAATGAGGAATGCACAGAATCAGCTAAGGACGATGGTGGTGCTGCATAGAAAATCAACGAGCAGCAGTTGATGCTTGACATTTATGACGGGGTAGAAGCTATAGGTGGTAACAAAACGATCAGTGATGACCAGAAAGCATATTTCATCAAAAACCGAGCTCCAGAGAAAAATTTTAACTTTCCAGGCAAAACCTACGTGGACAAACGAAGGAAATCTGGAACAATGGCACGTCATTGCTGCAATGATTGGTTTAATGTGTTTCATACTCCGTGGCTAAGGATGGCTTATTTTGTCTGGCCTGTGTTCTCTATCTAATGCCGGCACATCAAGGAAAACGCGCAAAAAATTGTATCACTGCACCCCACAGAAATTGGAAGGACGTGATGCAAGACCCAAAAGACCATTCGAAACCGTTGTTTCCTCGAGTCGACAATCAGATGTATTGAGCTGTGTGGTAGGCAAGGTATCTCACTCAGAGGACATCGAGAGGATGGCAATCCTCTGGAAAGTGATGATGAGTTGACAAACATGGGCAACTTCAAGGCATTGGTGAAGCTTGTTAGTCGTAACCTCGGAGATCACCTAGAGACATGTAGGAAGACGGCAACCTATATATCAAAAACAACACAAAATGACCTACTAGACTGCATAAGGGAGTATATTCAAGAAAAGATTGTGAATGCTGTGAAGACACAGCCTTCTGGTCCATATTATGGGATTGTAGCGGATGAAGTGACGGACTCCAGCAACTGGGAGCAGCTTGGGATAATTCTCAGATACATTCAAAACAATGAGCCAGTTGAAAGATTAATTGAATATGTTAAATGCTCGAGCATAAAAGGATATAGCTGATCAAATTATAAATAGCTTGACAAACCTCGGCCTAGATCCTGGAACATGTCGTTGTCAAACATACGATGGCGCCGGCAATATGGCCGGAAAGCATAAAGGTGCTTTCAGACAATTTCAAACGAAAACTGACAACGAGAAAGCAATTTATTTTCTCTGCGGTTCTCATGAGCTGAATTTGGCGCTCTCCAGGTCGTGTAAAGTACCTGAAGTCCAGAATATGATGTGTCTTATGCAATCTGTTGGCATCTTCTTTAAATATTCACCAAAAAGGCAACGGACATTTGAAGTCTCCATCAATAATATATGCCAAAAACAAGGAAAAAATGCAAACATCATGAAACAGAAGATGACGCCACTTTGCGAGACAAGATGGGTTAAGCGACATGCAGCTTTCGATGACCGCAAAACATTGTTCGAACCCTTGTTGGACTGCTTGGACTTCATTGCACTAAATGAAAATAAACGCTTTGACCCCAAAACGGTGACAGAGGCAAGTGGTTTGATAACCCAGCTTAGCAGTTCTAAGTTCCTGGTCAGTTTTACCATGTGTCACTACATATTTGGCTTCACGAAGGGCATGTCACGACAGTTGCAGGGAACATCCATGGACATTATCAGAGCCTATGATCTTGTCATCAACGTCACAACAGAACTGTCAAATATTAGGGGAAATTCAACTGACGAATTTTCAAAGCTGTTCAAAGAATCTTGCGCGTTGTCGGAAGTGACACAGACACCAATAACAAAGCCACGTCTCGCCGGGCTTCAAACACTGAGAACCAATGTCCCTGCTGAAAGTGTGGAAGAGTATTACAGGAGGGGAATTGTTGTCCCATTTATTGACTCTAAAGACCAAACTTGAAGACAGGTTCAGTGGCAGGTTTCATGACGCAGTAAAGGCCATGTTGCTGATCCCATCGAACCTAGCCAATATGACAGAGGATAACGTGAACACCATCAAAGACCATTATGGCGAAGATCTTCCTTGCCATTCAGACTTCAACCAAGACTGTGGGAGAGTTTCTGGGAATCTGACCGCGACAAAGATCTGCCAGACAGATTGGCAAAAACTCTAACCAGCGTTG